CTGGAACTGAAAACAAATGTAATGCCGGATATCTGATAATCGGTATCCGGTAATTTTACCATTCGATGCATCCCTAATGTTAGTTATGAACTAAAATAAATAATTCTAAATTTATAATTATAGTGACTATGGTGGCAACTGTGGACCAAACGCTGACACAATATTTTAGCTCTATTGCTTTATTTCATAGCAACGAAGATCTCGGTGACCAACTTTGCGCAAGTGTAAGGAAAGCTATCATGGCTTATAAAGAAAGAAATAAGGCTTTTCCTGTACATCTTGTAATTTATCGAGATGATGTTAGTGAAGGTCAACTCAGACAAGTTTACGAAAATGAAGTGCAAAAATTAGAAAAAGCGCTTGAAAAATTGTATTATGGTCCGAATTTTAAGCTGATTTTTATTATTGTAACTAAAAAAATTAACGTTCGGCTGTTCGATATGAGAGGTCGTAACGCTAATCCACGTACCGGAACAATAGTAGATGACGTAATCACCAATCCGCTAAGATACGATTTTTTTATTGTGTCGCAACAAATTAGGCAAGGTACAATTTCACCCACTTCATATAATGTGATTTTTGATAATACTGGACTGGAAGTAGATATAGTTCAAGTTGTTACATATAAACTGACCCACATGTACTATAATTGTTCAACTACTGTCAGAGTACCAGCGCCCTGTCATTATGCGCACAAATTATCGTTCTTAGTGGGACGATTTCTACATCAACCTCCAAGTTCACAGTTGGAGAAACAGCTATTTTTCTTGTAACAAGAAAAGTTTTTTCCCATTATAGATATATATGTATATATGTGTGTGTGTGTGTGTGTGTGTGCGCGCGCGTGTGTGTATGTGTAATCACGTTTTGTAACAAGAAAACGCGAACACAATTTGTTGTTAATATTGCGTCACATAATTAGCTATCAAATTATAACTTTCTGAAATTTTATTTTTTATTTGAAAGCCAATTGTGTGACAATTCTTGTTATAAAACTTCCGATATATTTTGTATACTTAGGCTTAGGATAACTAAAGTGATGAAAATGTGTTCACAACTTTGATATTTCCTAAGAGAATCATTTGATGTGCCAAAAATTATTCTGGTAAGTTCCTAAGAAATAATTCAGATAAAATATTGAAAAATTAAAAAATACATCTTTATATGTATAAGTTGAATATCTTTTTTTAATATCTTTTTAGTATTTTATTCAACGTTTTACGATTAAAGATAAGAACTTCTTAAACTTTTAATATCAAATACGGGTTTCTTCCACGAATAATTATAGATGTAACTTGATGTAGCAGAATTATAATAGTTTTAAATGCTGACCAATGATTCAAAAAGCCTAATGATATGTAAACATAACACATATATCATAGATATAAAATATTTTTTGAAGATTTAAAAAAATCTCTTAAGAGATATTATATGTATATTGTATATGTATGTAATAAGGTAATCGAATAATTTTATTTTTTAACATTAATCAATAAATTTATGACATCTTTAAATGTGACTTTGGAATGTTGTCAGTAATTTATGACGTCTTTTGTACAGGATGTTGCAGATACATACTAGACAATATGACAGGTTGCGTGATAAACTTTGCATGGGCAGGCGCAGTTTTATAGGTAATGGCGGTGATTTTTATACATTATACATTATAAAGTTTATACATTATATAGTTTATGTTATAAAGTCATCATCTATTGAACCGCGCCTGTCCATGCAAAATTTGCCGCGCAATCTATCATACTGTCTAATATGTATCTGCAACATCCTGTACGTCTTTAAGATAAAAATATTGTAAATGGGTTAAGACTCCTGGAATAGGCACACCACAGCCATATATTTAATCGTGATGTATCATATATTTAATCGGAAACGAGAAATAACATGTTGATTTTTGTTATGTGTCATTTGTAAATAAAGACAATTTGGATAAAATGATAAAATTGCTTTAAAACATTTATAAAAATGGACGAAAACTATAACATAACTAATTATGTTTATCTCCCCCTGATAGTAAAGAATTATACAAAGAATGTTAAAAGGCACATATTATAAATGAAAATATGCTATACATTGAATGAAAAAATTTTACGCCTTTTGTCACTTTTTATGATTATTTACCATCAGGAAGAATAAGCATAGCTTCCGTTTATTTTTACAATTATTTTAAAGTGATCTCATAATTTTATCCAAATTGTCTTATTTTACAAATGGTAATAAAAATTGGCTGTGATGATTATTCAGGATAATGATTATTATTTACGAGCCTTAAGAATACAAATTATTATCAGATTATGAATTCAAAATCTCATTTAAATCTACGCAGTATCTTATCATTTTAACTATTCTGGAATTGACGATTGTTAATGTCTATTTCAGTTATTTGTTTAAAAAATGACACATTTATTTTCCATTCACGTAAATATAATTCAGTTTAGTTTATAAGATTTTCTATCATAAATATGATTATTTTAGCGTAAAAGTGTATTTTATTTTTATCCATGTAATACAATATGTTTACATAAATATTGTTTATAAATGTATATTTGTTCAATATATGAAATTGAAAAATGAAACTGTCAATTATATAAGTATATGAAAGCACGTTGTTTGAACTATTAAAATGTGAACAATTTTTATTAAATGTCTTGTTATCTAATAAAAATATGAATACATTTCTAAAATGTAGATAATTTATCCCATTGACTTGAACAATTTGATAAAAAACAACTCAGATTAAAAATCAGATTAGAAGAATAAATTAGAAATTCATAATTTATATTTTTAATTTACATTGAACAGAAAAAATTGATGCTATGTCTAAATATACAATCGTACATCATGACAAATTGCAGCGTCAAATTATGTTTTGATTTCTGTAATTTTTGTAAAAATTTGAATTTAGTGTAATAATATCTCCAAATGCATATTCGTTATGATTTTTCTTGTTTCGATTATGTTTAACATGAATGTATCTTTTGTTCTCAAGAAGAATGATGTATTTAGAAGGTTATATAAAATTAGACAAAATCATATGGAATTATATGGCATAGAATCATGGAAGAATATTTGGTGAATCTTCGTTTGGATAAACCATTACCCGATATAAGGGTATGTAACATTAATGGTTTCATTTCCTTCGCTTGTCTTCACTTGCACGCGTGTATGTAATTTTACTCGACAGCCTTTATAATCAGCATTCAAGAACTTTTCTCTGATACTGATGTTGAACAAACATCCATGCGATTCAATTACACGCTTCACCGACCTCATTTAAATAATCCTTACTTAGAATGAAGAACAGTTGCAAAAGCACTCCTTGGATGCTAGCTTGGAAAGGAAACCTATAGATAGAGCACTACATATCCTTTTGTAAGTAAATTACGCGTTTTAAATTCTGATATCGAATAATTAATGATTCTCAATCTTTATTAATTTAAAGATAAAATCTTAATATGTATTTGCATAATACATTTTTTAAACTTTGAAGGAAATCTTCATATTCTCGTATAAGTAAATTACATGTTTTAATCCGATATTATTGAATAATTCAATATTTATATTGTTTTTAAATGATCTTTTTCTAATTCAAAGTTCTTAATTGATATCTATTTTTAACATGATATATATTATGTGATATATAATGTGATAGTTTTAATCGTTATTTCTGCTTATCAATATTTTTCTTACTATTGCATAAATGCCGATATATATATTGAGTATTAAAATTGCTATTAGCTAAAAATTTCTACGCGAGCTTGCACATGCAGAGAGCAATTTTACCTGTATTGCCTCGATAATTCGACCTGTTAAACCTTGATCGGAAATGCGTAATTTACTTGCGATTGCCGAAACAAGGTCAGCATGGCGTTAATTAAATCTCGCGAACATATATAAGCGTGTTTTCAAGGTAGCAGTAGATATTCTTCAATGTAGGTAATGATGTATTTATACGATAATTTACAATTGGACTGACAAGCATTAAATCTCTGTAAATCTACAAGCAATACTTGAAAGCTTTAGTTTATATTTATGAACACTTAATCTTATGATACGCCACAATTTTACAAGATTTAAAAAATCTATTATGCAGGTAAAAAATACTATTCATAATAAAGTGAATGGAGATAAAGAATTATAATCGATAAAGTGCAATTGTTTCAATAATTTCTTTAAAATTAGAAATAAGAAGAAAATATATTCTCTGAAATATCAAAAAAGTAATTCATGAATGCTAACAATTGCTGTGATAAATAAAGAATTGATAAAAAGAAATATTAAAAAACAGATACACCTATTATATATACGTATTTAATAATTATGCAAGTTTTCAAATTGAACGTTCGAATGTTCCTCCTGTAAACAATATAAAACGACTATAGTCATAACAATCGCAAGACTATGATTGACGATGATCCTTTCAATGTCATCGCATCCGGAGTGGATCTCCAGCGTTCGGGAAACACTCGGTCGATTATTGCGTAGATTCTTTTTCCCGATGCGTCGGGGCCGGCGCATCGGATTGCCGGATGACGCGATCATTAAATCATCTTTTGTGTCACGCCAGCGGGTTACGCAACAGCGCCCTCGGCGTGTACTAACTGTGTGCATCCACGGGATGCGTCACGACGTGCGCGCGTCTTCTCGACAAATCCAATTGGTAGTTGATACGTGGGTCGCGTTCGTCGCGTATTTGTGCGCGCCCAGCAGTCGTGTTCTGAGTACCGAGCGTTGGGGCATTAAATTACGGATAGCACGGTCACGAATCGGATGTGACCGATAGACGCAGAGATCGGATACTCGCCCCGCTCGCTGTTCAGTTGTCATTTACGTTTTCGCGAGTTGCACGTGGCCGCTTTCTCCGCGCATTCGCGTATTGTGTCATTTGTGTCATGGGTACGCGCGTGCCATTCGCGTGAGAGGTACATACATCCCCGACCGCGATTGATCGATCCTGCCGCTCTCGCTGACTGCGACGAAGTCGATGAGTAAGATGCGCCTCGAAAATGCTGCAAGAGGGAGATGAAACCTCATACGAGATCGCGTCCGATCCGTAAGTACCCGGACGCGTCTTCCCCGTCGGCATGTCATGTCACCTCACGTAGCGTTGCGTCGCGTGAGGTCGATCAAGAGTTCATCCCCTTGCCGGGAATCAAGTTTGTTACCCTTCTCATCCCGCGCGCGCAACTCCTAAAAATAGCCACGCGATCGTTCAAGGAGCAGCGCACTGTCCTGTCATAGTTGAGCGCGCTAATTATAGTCCTTTAAAGACGACATTCCACGCGCGAGGGATGTCAGGATCGTGAAAGGTTCGCGGAACATCCGAGAGATTAGGTTAACTAAACGCATCGAATAGTAAACAATTTTTATTTATTATTTATTATGGATACTTTCTATTTGGTGACACAAATATACAAGTATCTTTTTCTGTTATTCTTTGAATATCAAGAAAGATAGAATTGATGTTATTAAGAGGGTTTGCTTTACTGTAAGAGACATAGATGACACAGTGTAAGGGATTCTGCTCAATAAAAGAAACAGGGAACAGAGAATATAAGAATTTCAATCTATCAGAAACTATGTATTCCACAATACATGATTTCTGATAGGATGAAATTCTCTGTTTTCTGTTTCTTTTATTGTCCCTAACAGTCCATTATTATATCCTTGTTTACCAATTTAAAGATGAAATGATCACGACTCACTACAATGTGTTTCTTAATGGAAAGTATCTATAAGACAAGTATGATTATTTCAT